TTTTAGTAATATATTTATTATGAAAGCTTATCTTATATTCAGAACCTTTTTATGTTTTTGTCAAAATTTGTTGGTTGGCAAGAACAGACATGCATTCAAAAGAAATCTTAATTTTGGTGTGTTGACATTTCAGAATAATTTGTAAAAAAAATATATCATTATCACAATCACAAATCAATGCTGAATCAAAAACCTATTAAATTAGCCAAATAATCATTTGATCAATCTTTTACCAGATGTCCCAAAATTTATGAAAACAGCTGTAACAGCCAGCCTGCATTATGCAAGCGGGAAAGTGTGAAATAGTGATGGCGCAAAAATTGATAGTCCCGTGACTAATTCAATAACAATGATATCCAAATTTTTGTCTAAATATTAATGTTTGCATTATTACAAAGTAGAAAGAATATTTCTAAATTTTTGTGCTGAAAACTTTTACATAATAACAATACCAATTTCTCTTGCGAATTTATGAGTTTTTTTTTATATCGAATTTGTATGTTACACATTGATATTACAATCAGATTAAATAAAAATCACGGGACCTTCAAATTTTTGCGCCATCACTATTTCACTCTATTTCTAGAAGCATACCTGTATTAGTTTTAATATTTCAATAACGTACGTACGTACGTACGTACGTGTTTGATTTGGACTAAGTGCCCTATGTCAAATGAAAAAATATGGACAATATAGACATAGTCCATAAATGTCCAAGTCCATTGTCTGTGTCCATATTTTGCAAACACTGTCCAAAACATATCGAAATCAAAATTACTGCTATTACTATATTGCTATAATCTATTACCGCAACTATTATGCTGCTACTATCATACGATTTTATAACGACTTTAACGATATTATAAAGCCTATGTACCTGATATCAAAAGCTTATCAAATTCGGCTGAATTAATTTCGGCCAAATTTTTATCAGTTGTCCCAGAATTTATGAGAACAGCTGTAAAAAAAGAACATTAGCACTTATAGTATGTCTGCCGGCAGATTTTACATAAAAGCAATTCCGATTTATAAACTCATTTCTGGGCCCAGAATCTATAAACACAAAAAAGAATATTGAATAGCAGAAGTACGTATGTACGTACGTACTGTGCAGGAAATCAATGACTTTATATAGAATAAAGGTTAGTTAGTTCATTAGAGATAATTAAATTTGTCATTCTCATCAGCATGCTATTATGTACATATTGCTCTTTGCTTATTGTTTTTATGCAAAAAGATTTAGAGTTCTAAACCTTCGCTTATTGTGATCGATAATTTAGGATATTTATTTTCGATGTGCTACTAGTTTATGCAATTTCCTGCACCGTACGTACGTACATACGTGTGCACGCATGTGAATTGCAGATAACGGCATAAATGAACGTTGCTGCAACGTAGCGGTAGTACATATCTTCAATAAATTTGATGCTTTCATATCGATACATGAGACATTCTTTCTTGCAGCAAGATGCCAATTTACAACAAACAATATGTTAAGCAGTCAGAAAAAATTGTTAAAGAAATGTGTAATCTGTATAATGTAGAAAGTTTGAAAGGCCAGAATTCCCGTTTAATTCTTGACACTTTAGAACAATTTCTAGTAAACAAAAAACAAAATCCAGATGATTTTATCAATTATTGCTTAAATGATAATGTCAATCCTACAATTCAAAACGTTCTCACAGATTGTTATTATTATGGTAAATGGGTCGAAAGGGATGAACACAAAGCATTCGTTTATAGTCAAAAATCTGCTGAAATGGGAGACTTTGAAGGAACACTTAATATTGGACATTGTTATCTAGGAGAAGTTGGAGTTGAAAAAGATGAACACAAGGCATTTTTTTATTATCAAAAATCTGCTGAAATGGGAAATTCTAGTGGAATATATAGCCTTGGACATTGCTATCAACATGGAATAGGAGTTGAAAAAGATGGACAGAAGGCATTCGAATGTTATCAAAAATCTGGAAATGCTGATGCAATAAATAGCCTTGGATATTGTTATGAATATGGAATAGGGGTTGAAAACAATGAACAGAAGGCATTCGAATATTATCAAAAATCTGCTGAAATGGGAGATTCTGAAGGAACATGTATTGTTGGTAATTGTTATCTAAATGGAATTGGAGTTGAAAAAGATAGACAGACGGCATTTGAATATTATCAAAATTCTGCTGAAATGGGATACTGCTGCAATAAGTAATCTTGGTGATTGTTATGAAAATGGAATTGGAGTTGAAAAAGATGGACAGAAGGCATTCGAATATTATCAAAAATCTGCTGAAATGGGAAAAGCTAATGCAATAAGAGAAGTTGGAAATTGTTATCTAAATAGAATTGGAGTTGAAAAAGATAGACAGAAGGCATTCGAATATTATCAAAAATCTGCTGAAATGGGAAATGCTGCTGCAATAAATAATCTTGGTAATTGTTATCGTTATGGAATTGGAGTTGAAAAAGATGGACAGAATGCATTCAAAAATCTGCTGAAATGAGAAATGCTAATGCAATGAATTTAGTTGGAAATCGTTATCGAAATGGAATTGGAATTTCAAGAAATATACAACGTGCCAATGAGTGGTATAAAAAGTAAAATTTTATTTATTATAAAACTTTATTTCAATTGGTCTTTATTAAATTTATTAATTAAATTTTAATAGGGTATGTTCATTTCTTTTGCCTATAAAAATAAAAAAATAAAAAATCATATTTAGAGTTGTTCAGATTATTATTTTAAAATGTGCATTTTTCGTAATAAGTACCTATATAAACCCTTTTTAGTTCCTTAATACTTCTAAATTTCCTGAATACTTTTTTTTTTTTGGCATAAAATTAGAAAAAGCCGAAATTTAAAATGATATTATGTAGGTTCATATTACGAAAAATGCTCATTTTAAAAAATAATGATCTGAACAAAACTTGAACATGATTTTTGATTTTTTTTTTTAGGGTTGTTTATTCATTTTTTAGCTAGAATTAATTTAATGGAAATTTTTTTAAGAAATAATTAAATCATCATATCCTCCTGGTCTTGATAATAATTTGATAAAAATATTGGACAATGAGAGATATCAATTATCATGGATTTCTTATGATGAATTTAATGATATTACGCAGATAGGCAAAGGTGGATTTGCCATGATAAGGGACAAAATGCCATAATACGCGTTGCACTCAAAATAGTTGATAATTCTGAAAAACATAATCAAGAATTTATAAACGAGGTAAATCAATGAAGTTTTATGATTTTAAAAAACATTAAACTAATTTATTCTCAATAGTTAACAAGGTTTTGTGAAATCAGATACAAAAATCCTTCATTCTTACAATGCTATAGAATATCAAAACATCCAAAAAATGGAAGATATATAATTGTTCTGAAATATGCACAAAGAGGTTCTTTATGTCAAAATCTTTCCTATGTGTCACAAATAAAATGTAAAAAAAAACTTAAATTACTTCATTACATTGTCACTGATCTTGAAGCAATTCATTCTCAAGAAATGATTCATCGCGATTTGTGTAGTGAAAATATTTTACAAGATACGTTGGATAGCGCATACATTGCAGATTTAGGTCTTTCAATGTTATCAAATGAGAAAAATGAATGAGAAGAAATTTGCGGAATCTTACCTTATATCGATCCACAAGTTTTATCAGGTCAAAATTACTCTCAAGCAGCAGATATTTATTCATTTGGGATAATCATGTGGGAAGTTTTGTATGGGATAACAGTATCTTAAATTGTTAGTAAATCAAAAAATGAAGCAGATCTTCAATTGCAAATATGCTGTGATGTTTTACGGCCACCTATTAATAAAGAAGCAACTTCGCGCTATGTGGATTTGATGAGAGAATGTTGGAGCAAAGAACCTAAAAATCGACCATCTGCAGAAAAACTCTGAAATTTTTAAAAAGTGGCAAAATGATGAAAACATCTTATTGGAATTGAACAAATCAAAAATAAAACTTGAAAACATCGAAAAATCATACGCCAATATGATTAGCAAAGGAAGTAAATTTTATCCTTTCACAAAATCAATTTTTGAAAATCAATTATTGATAATGGATTGCAAGAGCTGGCCATTAATGATAATATAAATTAAAAATTATATAGCAAAAAATATTCAGATTATGTTAACTTGTTAAATAAATTAATTTTATAATTATATTAAATTGCGTCATAATTTTACGATTACATCAAATGTTTTAAATTGTATTGCAAACTATTTTAAACTAAACAATCATGTTTTCTAAGATCATCTTTTAAATCATTTGCATCCCAAATTCTAGTTACTAAATGCTGCACCAGAATTTTGTGAGGTCAACCCTGAGATAATCCAAAATTCGGGGTTGAATGTATTAGAGCTGGGCTGGCATTAAGTAATACTAGCTCGATAGGTATACAGAATTTAACAATTATCGCAGTACACACGATATGTATTAGAATTGTAATTTCTATTTATGAAAAAATAATTGGTACAGAACTTACTCGTTAATACAATAAACACACTGGTTAAGATTGAGTTTGTTCGTATTGAAATTGTTACAATTTCTGCTATTAATTGTTGTAAGCCACATTATGTGGTTATAGTTAAGTTGACATTATCATGGTTTTTGTAGAGTTACTGAAAAAATTTTGCTACAAAGCTTGATAACTTTATCAATTGGTTCTCCATTTTGTTTTAAGAGTTTTCTAACATTTGATTTAAAACAAACTGGAAAATTCACCCGATAAGAAAAAGGTGGAATTATTCCAGAAAATAGCACTTTTTCTTTTACATTAAAATTTTCTGGCTAATAATTTATTCCAAGAATAGATATAATTTCTTGACAAAGAGGCTCGTCAAATATTAGATATAATTCATTCCAACTGATTATTTGCAATGATTCATAATCACTTTCTAAACAAGTCTTCATCCACATTTCAATTTCATCTTTCATTATTGATTTTTTGTCAACAGACATAAAATAAGACGAATCAAAACCATATACGCCTATGTATTTTCCCACTGACTTAAAATGTTATGATATTTTTCTGTCATAAAATTGGTAAACTGTTCTCCTTCTTTAAAGTTGGGATCTGAATGACTCTCATTCACAATTAAATGAGTAACTCTGTGTATTTTACGCCCAAGAATAAATTTTCTAGGAAGAAATTTTCCGTAGGTTTCAAAAATGGCCATTAATTCATTATAAGGGTTATAATGATTCAGAGCTTCTTTTATTTTGGCAACCATTTCTTTAGAAGGTTTTATCTTTTCTTTTTCAACAATTAATTCCAATTTTAAAATTGTATTTCAAACATACATCTTTGACAAGTGGCTCATTTGTTAAAGGGTTTTCAATAGGATTTACAGATATCCAGTCACAATGTTTCAAGTTAACAGCAGAGAGATCAATATGTTTTTTAAACAAGAAAGAATCTTTCTGTTTTGTAGAAAATTTTGACGTTATCTGAAAAGAGTTACCAAGCATATTTAATTTTCTAGCTTTAGGCTGCGAACATAGCGAATATGCCGAAAGTTTTGAATGGTGTACTCCTTCAGCACTTATAATCAAGCCATGGTTAATTTTTAA